ATAGTTCAGTGGTCACCATTCTTGCAGCTCGCATGGTCCTAAATCTGGACTCATGTCTGTATCCTGCACATGTACGAGTCAAGCCACCATATTTTCAGATTTTTGTCCCCGATCTATGGATCTGTAGCCCACGTACACAGTCCCGCTCAACTCGAGCATGGCCACTGTTATAAATACAATATGGTGGCTGTAATCCCACTCACATGCAGTAGTACCAGTAGAGACAGGGCACTACTGCACATATTTTTGAACTCACAATATGGTGAGATTCAGCTCAGGTGCAGTAGAAACCTCTGAGATAGTAACCAACCACACATGCACGGTATACATCCACCATATTATGTCATCGGAAATATGGTGGTAAAGTCCAGTGCATGCCTAGGATGTCAACGGTCTGTACTGGCACTACGGAGCGCGTACAGGACCTCGCCATCATGTTGCTTTCAGCACCGAACACGCTGGCAATACCGCACATTTGCAGCTGCCATAGAAGCACAGTTTCATCTAATATTAATGATGCTTGAAAGGGCGTGTGTGATGTGCACCTTAACAGCTCATCTCAATGATGCAACCAGCAGCCATTTTTGACAGCATCAACAAGAAACCCGTACATGATCTTGGAAAAGTCCATGGCAGTGAAACTATTTAAAAATTGTCCTTTCCAAGTAATTTTTTTTTTTTTTTTTCTGACCTGAAATCTAATTTCTACCTGGAACTAAGAGGGGGAAACAAAATCCCATTTATATTACTGGATTCCTTCTATACCAGTGGTTCTCAACCTCAGGACCCACATTTGTCCTTGGCCATTAAGTCGCGACCCAAGTCGCACTGCAATGGAATGCATGATATTGCAGTACCGCACGTTACAATTCGGGCATGTGGGTGGGAGGTGCGTTTGGGGTACCCTTCAAATGAATGGCAACGCAACACACCTCCCACAGCAGAATGCACGGTAGGTGAGATTGCATGGTACCGTGTGTTAATCGCACGGTACTAGTGTGAATGGGCCCTCAGAAACACTGACATACATGCACAACCACAGACACAATCTCACACACAGACGATGCAAAAAAAAAATAAAAAAAATTAAGATCCACCCAGTCTCCATGCCTTCCGAGAGGATCCTCAGCCTGGAGTCCAGTGTGGGCTGCTGTGCTGTGACGGAGCTCCATCCATATGTGCATTGCTTGTACACCTCCCTTGTGCACCCTGTAGAGGTGCTGGGAGCCAGAATGGGATATCACTCCAGTCAAGGCACATGAGGGAGCTGTAAGCAATGCACGTATGGATGGAGCTCCCTCGAGCCCATACCCCCAGCCCAGCCCACCCCACCTCAAGCTGACACTCTGTGCCGGGCAGCATATTTTGAATGGCCGTGTGGCGAGAGAACTGAAAGTGCTGCTCTAGGAGAAGGTTGAGGAGCCTCTCGCCTGGAAGAGTGGAAGGCATGCCCGCGACTCACTGAACACAGGGTTGCGACCCACTTTTGGGTCACGACCCACCAGTTGAGTGGAGCTGAATGCACGCAGCCAGGAGCGTGCACGTCAGACACAGTGGGACAGGAAAAGACATCAGTCTGTGCTGGATCAGGGACTGCCACCAGTGCTGGAGGGATAGGCGTACTTTGATCTGTCTGTAGAGTTGCCATTTTGAAGTACGTTTTCGATTATACTCAAGCCCCCCTAATGGATTTTGCAGACTATGTGATTAGAATGCAGAAGTTTACAGGAGAGCCTAGCTGTGATAGTAATACTGTGGGTATAGTCATGTTACAGGGCACCAACCTTAAATTGCCAAAGTAAAAACAGAAGGGGGAAAAAAAAAAAAAAAGCAATAAGTAATTCACATGTCCATTCAATCCCAAGGATTATTATTCCTCATTTAAGGAAACTGTGCTACCCACTAGTTAAGTAAAGGGCTTCTTGGTTTCATGTAGCCCACACCTTACCACAACTTATTGGTTTATATTTTCCATTGGTTCCCAAACTCTACTTGTAATAATCCGTTAATTCAATGCTCTCGATATTTGATGGCCAACTAGCCTGAAAAAGCAGTTATAAAAAGTCTAGAATAAAATTAATTTATAATGACTCTATAATATTAGGCTGTGCTATAGACAGCAGTTCTGAATGTACAGTAAACCAAAGAGGCACAAGAAAGGATTTGCATGGCTCCACCAACTATCCTGATATGTGAATATCTACTGATCAAGAAGTCTCTACTGTGTTACGCACAGTTCCAGTGGAGGCCCTTCTGTTTCCTTTTAGTCCCCTTCACTACAACATGTCTGGTTATACTACAACCATTAAAAACACAGGAGAACAAATATATGCGTGAACAAAATAAGATCAGCATGCACTGAGTGGCCAGATTATTATGACCACCCCATCAGTACTTCGTTGGGCCACGAGATGACTTAGTTGGGCCGTGCGTGACTCCACGAGATGTTGAAAGGTGATGCGAGGAATCTGACACTGCACTGTTGCCCTTCTGTTGTCTTGTACCAGTCTTGCCACTCTCCGTTCTGCCCTAACATTGACTAGTCACCGACGGCCACAATTCGCACGTTCAGACCCAGATTTTCGGCTGACAGTCCAGTATTTAAACACTTTAACAACAGCTGCTCTTGAACATTTAATGAATTCTGCTATTTTGCTCACTCCATGGCTTGAGCACCAACAATCATCCCACGTTCAAAGGCTGTTAAAATCGCGTTGTTTACCCATATCTTCAGACTAAAATCACTTCTACTGTCGAGGTAAACAACCTGCTTCCCTATTTAGAATGGTCTGGCCCTCTAGCAACTTCAGCGCGAAATTATAGCTAATTTGCCCACAAATGTCACGTGGTCATAATAATCTGGCCACTAAGGCAGAAAAAAAAAAAAAAAAA